GTGTTGGAAAGCTAAAATCTTATTTTTTTGACAGTTTGAGATTTTTACATTTTCAAATTGTATAGATTTTAACCTTTCTAAAAATACCTTTTTTGAACCTCTGGGGTATTTAGAAGCCTTTAAAATGTATTTTTAAATATTCGTTGAATTTGGGCCACGCCCATTTTAATGGCGAAAATTGTAAACAAATTACTTTGTTTTTGTATAAAAGTGTAACGATTGATACAAACCAAAACATGTATCTTTTATTTTAAATTGAGCCTGTTATTTTTTTTATTTCCCAGAAGTCTCACTGTATACATTAAAATCAATTTATCTCAAAATGTAAATTTTAATGTGCGATGTACCTTTTTTGAGAAACTACTGTTCACAGGTATGTAAATTTCTTATGAATTATTTATAATGATGTCTAATATATACTAAAATGAGCTTTTTTTAAAACACTCAAAAATTGAATTTTTACAAATTTTTTAAGCAAAAAATGAGTCAAATTTCGCAATGTTTGATAAAACATTTCATAATTTCTTAAAAAATTCAAAATTAGCTAAAAGCTCATTTTAGTATAATAAGAGAGGTGTACTTCAATAGTATGAAAAATTTCAAGCATGTACATAGAACAGATTTTGAGAAAAGGTACATCGAAAACAGCCAATTTAACATTGTCAGTATAGAGAGAGAGAGAGAGAGAGGTTTCCAACTCCCCTTAACTCCTTTTAATTCTAAATGAAGCTCATGTGTTAAAACGTTTTGTTTCATTAGCATACATTAGGAATGCGATTGTTTATACACTCTGTCAAGTATGAAACGAAACATATTGAATCCTTGAAAGATATCCTCAATAAGACTGTATTTAAATAACTAAATTACACAGAAATCTGATATTAGAATCCCCTAGTCACTTGCAAACTGTAATTTATAGTCTAGGATCTGCAACAGTGAACCACAGCAAGTCATCAGCACAACCGCTGTAGATTCTATTCATTAGGAAATTCAAGCGAAAAAAAATCACGATGGGAACTGTGCCATCAAACCCCACCCTGAAGGAAGCTCATATAAACAGAACCAACCTTTTAGCATAGATCCAGCAAGAGCGATAAATCGGACCTCGCCTAATGCAACGCTCTGCTAAGCATGAGATCCCATAGGTACACTTGCGATCACCATTTATTCTCGTTTGAACTGAGATACGTTGTTATTTATCGTTCTTCTCAATACCTATAGGGACATACGGCTTCATTTGGGGCTGATTCTTTATTTTGCTTACTGGCAGGATTAAGAGTACAATGGTTAAAAGCTCTCGAGTGGTAAGGGTTTTATGATTATTGATACTTCCTGATTTTATGTGAGAAATTTTTTATGGCCTTGTTTTTATTTGGCTAGAATGTTCGCAAGGAGGTAGAGAAGCATTGAAAATTTCGCATTATTTCCCTTCTCCTCTTTTTAGTTGTGTTCTTCTTACATAAGGTATGGTGCATATGTTTTCTCTTAAAATAGAAATTTGTGTTAAAGCAATAAATGGTCCAAATGTAAGATTTCAATCACATTTTTTTCAATTATAGATCTTAGAAATATTTCTATATTTTTCTTTTCAATTCAGCTCTGTGATATATTCAATAAAATTTTATATCAAGAAATAAATTGCTTTATTTTTTTAAAAATTTTCTGTTAAATATCGTGTTATCCTTTTATCTTCTAAATTTTTACAACGATGGTAGGAATTGATCATATGGTGTATTATACATGCTTCTAACCAAAAATCCAATATGTATATAAGAAATTTATAGTAAATAAAAACAATGTTGGTTCCTAGAATTAGAAGTTTTATCAGCTTTGTGTACGTTTTAATTATTAAATTCACTAAAATTATTTCTTTTTTGCAAAAAAGAATGTTTTGATGGGGTTTTTTTCCCCTAAAAAATAATCTAATAGTAATTAAAGAATTGCGTGAAGAAAAAATCAGGCTTAGTGAAAATTTAACATTTTTAAAATTTTCTATTTCAAAAGTTCAGAAATATTCCATTTTAGAATTCATTGTCTTTGAAAGTTTTTGCTAATTGTTCACTTTACGTTATATTTACTGTTTATTTATTACTATTTTGATTAAAATATTATTTTAGTATTTATTGCTATTGTTTTTATTATAACTGATTATTAATTACGAATGCTTTTTATTCAAAATGAAAATCTGCTTCAGAATATGTATTGAAAATTGCAAATTTATTTCCACTGGATACATCATAGACTGATATATTCGCCTTAAAGGCAAAGCAAATAGCACTTGATTAATATACCATAGGAATGAAAATGTCTCATGTACGACTAACGTGTTATAAAAGTTATTAAAATGCTGGCATAGGAGAAAAATTATTATATAATTGTAAACAACGCATTTGCTTATTGATTTAAAGGAAAGTTTAAATACCTGCGTAACAAACACATTACCATCTGATGTTATCGGGCTCATTTAAAACACAAAAATATCACATTTGATTATTAAACTCATGAGGTTTTTACTATTTTTTAAGGGCGCTATTTTCATTTTGTTAAGCATCGTTTATTTTTAAGACGCTTTTATTTTCTTCACCTGTATGTAACGGAATCTTTGAACTCTATTTTTATCCATTTCAAAAGGTCAGATTACTACAATACAGATCAGGATCATCAGGATTAACGATTTCTCATTTCCAGATTTGGTGACAAAATGATTAAGGTATAACCCTAAAGCGAAAACGCTTATGGTTAATACAAATAAACAGAGAAACAAAAGCGATCTTTATGTTGAAGGGGGTGGATGCATCAGTAATTTGTTTGTTCGATTAACTATAAAAACATGTATTTATAGTTTTTTTTTAAACTAGCATTTGTATTTTTTAGATTACCATCCCTAATTTATTAATTTAGAATATACGACGTGACCCCATGACAAAAAGAAGAAAAAAAACAATATTGCCTAGATATTTTTACTTATTGCAAATATTGAGCTAAATGACAATGCTGAAACGAATACTTTTTTGTGATCTTGAACACATTCCTGCCTTAGTATGATAAAGAAGACAATGATCGGAGTACTAGTTCAGACAATGTTCAAGTATGATCGAAGCTTTAATTATAAGATCCTTTGTGTCAAATAAATTTGCATAGTATCAAAGTAACATTACTATGAAAAGTACATGCCATGTATCGCAAGTAATACTTAATTAGTTTTAAATACGTTCTACGCGACATCAAGAAATATTTTAAATGATTTTCTGTTTAATATTTTGTTATTTAACTTGCCAATCTAAGAGAATAATCACTAAGGTGTAAAACATTAGGACAGGCATTGTACGGATAACTGTATTGGTTATAACGCTTAACGTTAAACATATTATTCCAAAATAAATATTTCAGAGCTTAAACGTGATTGATGTTACATTTAGTGACGTAAGAAAAAAAGAAAATTGGCTTACTCTTTTCATTAACCTGATTTCTTCACACAATTTTACTTACTTGAATATTACAAAACAAATTAAGTGAATTCTTTCTCCTTTTTCTATTTTCATGTCCAACATCATACATTTTCCACCCAGGACACCTAATCCCAAGTGTTTACCTCACTTAGTTAGACCGACTTTTCGACCAACATTACCACTGCTACTTAAGCTACAAGTTCCAATGATTTATGATCTCCCTTCCCGGTTACTCCTGTCATATTCAGCGCATCGATCAAATGGTTAAGAAGTAGTCATTTCGCAAAGTGCTTCTTGTAGAAAAATGTCGCCGCCTCCAGCAATGTCCTATTTTTTCGCATCTCCGTGGATTAAGTAAATACCAGTCTTTTTGTAATAAATGTTTTAAATTGTTTTCTCACGTTAGAGGAAGTGCGAATAAAACTTATAAAAAATTGAAAAAAGGAATAAAATGGGGAAATGAGTTTTAAAAAAGGATGATTCCTGCGTGCTCCTTAAGTAAATAGAAATATGTCACAGAAAATTTTGGATGTGCTGTGAAATTCACAGCATCAAGAAATATATTTTTAAACATTAATTTTGAAAATGTGTTGTGGAATATTTCAAATTTCTTAAACATCTTGTTATCCTTTACAGGATACTACGTAAAAATATATTACATTTGTTGTCACAGTTTATTAATTTTTAAACTGGTTAGCTTTTTGCGTATATCTTTTAGATATTCAAAAAATTGGTAATGAGAAATTCGTATTTTTTTTTAATCACTTAAGTATTTCTTTTTGTTAAAGGCTAAAATATCCATTTATTGAAAATAATTAATTTAGTAGTTCCATGATAGTATAAGTGTTCAGGCAAAGGAAAATGAAGACTGAATTTGTGGCAAATACAACTAATTGAAACCGATTGGATGGATTACGGGAAATTGTAAGTATACACTTTCAACTAAGCACTTCGTATAGATGTTATACCCTCGTAATTATAACAATGAAGGCAATTTCTTTTGTAATGAAAGATAAGCAAATCGAAACGTTAAAATACGTTTCCATATTATTAATATAAATCTTTATATTATTTATATAAAGATTATTTATTAAAAAATACAAATCATGCAATCCATTTCAATTTCTTGGAAATTTATAAATTAATTATTTATTAAATGAAAAAAAAATGATTTCTTCTTAAAATACATTCTGCTTTTATATTAAAGGACTTGATTTTTTAAACTTAATGTGATTGGAAGAAAAAGTTGAGTATCACTTTTCAAAGAATATATACATCCTTTGTACAAGTTTTCAATTTCTACTATTAGTTCACACTCTCCTTATAAATATATATATGTATATCTAGTGAAAATTTTCAATCGTAAATAAGATACTTTTTATTCATCCATTCAAGCTCAAATACATTTTTTTAAAATTTGCAGTAGATGACACTTGATGCTAATACAGGTTTTTCAAATATTAATTCATTAATTCTATTTAATTAATGAATAAACAGTAATAAACAAAAATAATAGTCCAACACCATATAAAAAGGAAAATCACTCGTCGTGTCCCTGTAACGCAATGGACAGCTTGTTGGACTTCTAATCCTCAGTTCGTGGGTTCAAATCCCACCTGAGATGGCTTAATTTCAGATAATGTGTTTTATTCTTGCTATACTTTTTTATTGAAATGATTAAATTTAATTAATTTATAAATAGTAAGAAAAAGAAATAAATATTCCAACGTAATATATAGAAAGGAAAATTGAAAATTGCATGGAAAATCGCTTTTTATTTTGCCACTTAATATTGTGATTCTGTGATATGTATATACGTATATATATATTAATTGTAATTATTTAATAAAAAGTAACTAAAATAAAAATTTTTCCTTTATTGACATAAGTATTAATTGATTATTTTTTTTAATTTGCTTGTTACTTATCTAATCTAACATCCCTCTCTTAGTATTGTCAAAAAGAATATTTTTAGAAACTGATTGAACGCTTTAATTTTTGAAAATTTTTAATTCTTAATTGTTTAAAAATTTAAATTTTAAACAACTGTGTTACCCTTGTCTTAGTTCGCTTAGTGAAATTTAAAACACTTTCCTTACATTAAACATCTATTATTTTTCCCTCTGTAAAGATGTTCGCATTTAGTTTAATGTTGTTTTAAGCCTATTTAAAAAATAACTATTATAAAACGTTCTCTTAATTCCCGTTAATTGTCATTTGCCTGCAATCTAATTATTCAGAAATGCTTTGCAGAAAACACTGGTTCCTATAACGAAGGATAATAAATTGTCGATTTAAATATTTTTGTTGCTGTTTTGTAAAGTATTTTCTTTGCAGATTAAGTAATTACCGGTAATTTGTTGATTGTTTTTCTTTTCTTAATTAACAAAGGTGTACATCGAACAATCAAACGGATTAGAAACATTTTTTTCTCCAAAATAAAAATTCAAAACGTAGTGGAGTAGACAGATATAAGTTGTTCGGTTTTTTTTTTTTTTTTCGAATCATTTACAAATAATCTTTTTTTTAACAAAATGACAGTGCCATTTATTGACGGACATGGTTTGTAAGGAAGAGTAGTATTAGACCACAAAAAAACCCCTTATTTATGGTGAGCAGTTCTAAGCACCCGATTTACCGAACCACAATTTAAGATCTTCACCATTTAACGAATTTTTCCTTTCTGCTGATTAAAATGAAGGCATTAAACGTTTATTTAACCAATAATACACCCCAAATTAGCGAATTACTTTAAAAACCGAAAAAAAAAGTATTTTATTAGTTTTGTTAAAGAAAATCGGATATCTTTTTTTTTCAAATGACATCCTTTTAGAACAGATTTTTCTTGTAAGCGGTAACTTTCGACGGAAAAAGGTGCTGCCCACTATTAGACTTAACATATGTTGGCCTGCTGTATACAGGGTCCGACTGTATTTCTTTAGAAATGGGTCTTTCTCCCTATATATATAATAGTATATGTAATCACACATTAATAATAATGAATCGCATTAATTTTCTTTCAAGGAATTTTGATCCGTAGAGGTCTTGAGCTTTCCAGAACTTCCTATAATTAATTTCTAGCTTACTCACCTAACAGATTATAACCATCACCGTATCTTCCAAAACAAAAAAGTTTAGAATTTTTTAATTAAGGATGATGCAATCTTTCATTAAGTATCAGGACCATTCCGAAAAGCCTTGTAACCGAAGTCCATTCGTTTTTAAGGATTTCGGTTAACCATGGCTATATAAAATGTCTAAGATCTCCAGAGAAATATAAAGTTTTCGTCCTTTGTATTACTCGTGTGCGTGTGTCGCCCCTCACTTTCTCTTTCTATGTGCATGTGTGTGTATGTTGGTAATAAAGCAGTGCATAGTAAAGAATGGTTTAAATTGGTAATTTAAATTTTGGAAATAAAAATGAGATCACTGCTGCATTATCAGTAAATGTAGCAGTCTGAACACTGCTGTTATCAGTGAGATTAAACCAGTGAAATTCTTGAAAAACTTTCTTCTTATATTAGAGTGAGAGATCCAAGGAAATGGAACAGATTTTCTTCACACATCATTAATAAAAAGTTGTGTACAAAAAATAAACATTCGAAAACGTTTCTTGAATCAAAGAACAATAAAACATCAGTTGGCATATTCACTCCTCTTATAAAAGTTGGAAGACTAAAGTAGAAAAGTTTATTAGCAGCACAATTTTGATAAATAAAATTATATATATATATATATATATATATATATATATATATATATATATATATATATATATATATATATATATATATATATATATATATATATATATATATATATATATATATATATATATATAATATATATATATATATATATATATATATATATATATATAATATATATATATATATACACTCTGTCGCAAAAAAAATATATGCACCCAGAAGAAATCAAGCTACAATCACGAAACTCGGCAAGAATGTAGTCTGGTAAGAGATATGCAAATGATTAAAATTTCGAAGCCAATGAGACAAGGCTAAGTGTGCTATGCGCATATTAGTTGCGCAACTGGGAGAGTTTAAAAGCATGAGTACGAGCGCCGTACGGCTATCCAAACGAATCTGATGACTTTGATAGACGATATTGAGACTTAGGATGCCTCTAAGACGTAACCGGCGGAAGTACGAGCAGCTGACGGACTTTGATAGGGGCCGTATAATAAGCCTCAGAGAAAGGTTGGTCGAATAGACGTATCGGCCGCCACCTCGGTCGGAGCGATATGGTAGTTGCTCGGTGTTGGCAACAGTGGATCACAGAAGGTAGAGTGTACCGTCGCGGAGGGTCAGGACGTCCCAGGAACACAAATGATCGCGAGGATCGTGCAATCAGAAGAGTGGCCACTTCGGCACCAACAACGTCGCTAGCATCGATTCAACGCCACTTACCTCCTTCCAGACATCCAGTGCCATCAAAAGAAACCATAAGGAGACGACTGACCGAAGTTGGCTTGAGGAGCCGACGTCCGCTAAGACGCTTACCACTGACCCCACATCATAGGCAGTGTCGACTGGATTTTTGCCGACCTCGGGCAACTTGGAGTGTGACAGACTGGAGACGTGTCATCTTCAGTGATGAATCCCGATTCAGTCTCAGTGCTGATGACCACCGCACACGTGTCTGGAGGCGCAGCGGCCAGCGGTCCGATCCGGCATTTATTGTCGAGCGGCATACAGCAATTTCACAAGGTGTGACAGTGTGGGGAGCAATTTCTTGGGACACACGATCATCTTTAGTGGTCCTTCAAGGCACTTTGACAGCTCGCAGATACGTGGACGATATTTTAACGCCGATTGTGCTACCCATGCTATCAAGTCGCCCAGGTGCCATTTATCAACAAGATAATGCTCGTCCACATACTGCGCGACTCTCCCAACAATGTCTTCAAGGATATGACGTCCTACCATGGCCTGCCAGGTCACCAGATCTTTCGCCAATAGAGCATGTCTGCGACGCGCTGGGAAGGCAACTAACTGCAGCCGTCCCGAGATACAGAAGAATTAACTGCGCAGATGCAAAGACTATGGCAGGATCTTCCACAGGGGGTCATAAGTGATCTAATTAAATCGATGCCATGCCGAATTTCGGCTTGTATAGCTGCCAGAGGTGGCTTTACTACTTACTGATTTTTAACCTTTTGCAAGCTGTAACCGCTTAATAAAATGATATTTTGTTCTGAATTTTTAATCATTTGTTTATTTTCATATACACTACATGCATACCAAATTTCGTGAATGTAGCTTAATTTCTTCTGGGTGCATATATTTTTTTGCGACAGAGTGTATATAATATATATATATATATATATATATAATATATATATATATAATATATATATAATATATATATATATATATATAATATATATATATATATATATATATATATATATATAATATATATATATATATATATATATATATATATATATATATATATATATATATATATATATATATATATATATATATATATATATATATATATATAAGAAACTTATATCCTGGCAATGGATATGTGATGAAAGAAGCAGAAGTATTTATGCTGGTGTTCTGGACATTACAATCTGAAGCTAACTCCTCATTTTTTAAATCAAAATTCAAATAAAAAGTCTTATTATATTAAGATTATATTGTGTCTAAATCTGAATTCATTAAGATATAATTATTTGAAAAAAGTATGTGAATATTTACATTAAGGTATCCGCGCGCGACTACCATTGAATCATATTTTGAAAAAAATGACTCAATTTTTTACGATTTTATTTCGTAGACCATCTTATTAGCTTTATAAAAATACCGAGTTTTCTTTATTTCCCATCCATTAATACAAAAACTAAAAATGTTTTAGTAAAAGGAGATGTCATAACTTTGCATAGGATGTCAAACATTAAAATGCGTTTCACTCGAAATGTGTTTTCTTCGAAAAGCTCAAACATGGACAGTGATTGCTCAAAAGGTTTTTAAAATAATTTGCTGAATTTTTTGTGTATGCTCTGTATAACAGTAAAAGTACTTTAAGTTTAAGGTTTTTTAATCATTGTTTCATTGCAAAGTTTACAGTTCTTTATGTGAATCTAATCACTGTTTTTTTAAGCAATTTCATCTAATATCTATGATAAAGTGCTCTAGTATTTGTAAATATTAAAAATCTCTTATCCTAATGACCGTTTCAAAAAGGAATAGCAAATTAATATATCAGAATTGAAAAATTGAGAATTTGTTCATTTACTATTTGTAAAGAGTAGTGCCCCATTACTGTAATTTGTTGTCAATTTTTATCCATTTTTTTTAGCATTTTAGTAGTAATAATTTATTTTTCTCTCCTTAATTTTAGCCTTTTTTTTTCTTAAAATGTGAAAAAAAATCTCCATATCTCCATTTTTTTCAAAAAAAAAAGTTGTTGCAAGTAGTCAAATACCTTAAATACTGTATTTTACCAGTTCAGATCCTCTTCTTATAATTTGTTTCAAATTAGTAATAACAATAATATAAGTACATGTTGATAAGCTTATAAGGTTATCTATAACTTTTAAGAGTTAACACATGTATTATAAATAATACAAGTAGACTATTACTGTGA